GCTACACAAAAACCCCACAAATCAAACAAACAAACAAAACAAAAAATAAAATAAAACCTGGTCTTCTCTATCCAAGAAGGAAAATTCAAATCAATGGGATACAGGCTACAAAAACAAAACAAAACAAAAAAACTAAACCTAGCCTGCCCTGTCCAAAAAGTAAAAAAATAAAAAACAAAAAAAAACACAACAAAACCTGACCTGGTCTATCTAAACAGTTAAAAAAAAAAAAAAAAGCAAAAAACAAAATCAAAACAAAACCTGGCCTGCCCTGTCCAAAAAGTAAAAAAAATTAAAAACAAAAAAAAAACACAACAAAACCTGACCTGGTCTATCTAAACAGTTAAAAAAAAAAAAAAAAAAAACAAGCAAAAAACAAAATCAAAACAAAACCTTGCCTGGTCTATCTAAAAAGTTAAAAATACAAAAAAAAAAAAACCAAGCAAAACAAAACCTGGCCCACTCTATCCACGAAGTTAAAAAAAATAATGGCTTTGCATTTGTCTCTGAGGCAGGAAGTGAAGGAAAAATCGACCCAATGGGATGCAGGCTACAAAAAAAAAAAAACCTGGCCTGTTGTATCCAAGAAGGAAAAATCAACCCACTGATAGATACAGGCTACAAAAAAACAACAAAAACAGAAAAAAAAAACAAAAAAAAAAACCAAACCTGGCCTGGTCTATCCAAAAAGTAAAAAAAAAAAAGCTTCACATTTTTCTCCTTGGCAATGGGCATTTTCTAGTCATCTGTTCCCGACTTTGTGCTGCCGCGTCCCAACGTCAGTCCTCCTCCTGATAATGGAGAGATAGAAGATAACAGACAGAACAGTCACGGTGGAGCGCTGTGTATGAAGTCATCATTCCTCACTACTGACACAGCCTTCCTAATATGTGGATTTTTTCCCTGTAGGGAGGCAGACTATGATTCAGCTTCCAGTCACTCCCTGGAATTGTTTTGTTAAAAATACATTTTGGGATTAGAAAATGATAAACCAAAAAAAATATTCAATTATATTTAAAAAAAACAAAATGGGATTTTTTTTAAGGTGTCACATCATTGATCGCACAATGGCACCCAAATATACAAAAAAGATATAATTTTTATTTCTTGCAACTCAATAAAACTGTTCAAAACATCTAATAAAATATACATAAAAATGCGCTACTTTAACTGACAATTGCACAGTCATGCAACGCTGTACAGAAATGAAATTTATATCACTTTTTTTCACACAGATAGAGCTTTCTTTTGTTGGTATTTGATTTGATCACCACTGGGTTTTTTTTTTATTTCTTGCGCTATAAACTAAAAAAAAAATAAGATTTGAAAAATTTTTTAATTTTTGATATAAAAATTATCCAATAAAAAAAATTTATGGTTAAAAAAAAAAAAGAATTGGTTTTCGTGAAAATGATAGCAAACTACGGTATATATACTGGATTTTTTTAAAACAAAAATTTTAATAAAAAAATATCCAATAAAAAAAAATTAAATTTCTTCATAAATTTTGGCCAAAATGCATTCTGCTAGGTCTTTAGTAAAAAAAAAAAAATCCCAATCAGTGTATATGAATTGGTTTGCGTGAAAATGATAGCAAACTACGGTATATATACTGGATTTTGTTTTAATACTAGCAATGGCGGCGATCAGTGAATTATACTTTACTGTATACTATACTTTAACTGACAATTGCGCGGTCATGCAACGCTGTACATAAATTACATTTCTGTCATTTGTTTCCCACAAGTAGAGCGCTAGGTTTATTAATTTTTTTCTTCAATTGAAATAGGGACACGTGCGTTGCAGTGCGTTTTAGTACATTCCAGTCTGTTCCGGTGCGTTTTTTAACATGTTTTACGGCTTTCCAGTACAGTTCTGTGCAGGAAAAATGCAGCCTGTACTACTTTTTACGTTTTTGATGCATTCTGGTGCATTTTTGATGCGTTCTGGTTCATTCCCCCCCCCCTCTTTTTCTTCAATTGAAATAGGGACAAGGGCGTTCCGGTGCGTTTTTTTAATGTTTTATGGTTTTTCAGTACAGTTCTGTGCAGGAAAGATGCAGCCTGTTCTACTTTTTTTTTCTGCAACCGGAACACACCGGAACTGCAAGCACTGATGTGAACTATGACACTGACCACCATATCACCTACTTTCTGTGCGTTTTTGATGCATTTTTGCCACATTGTTGGATTTTTGGTGCATTTTTTACACGTTCTGGTTAATTTTTCCCTTTTTCTTTCTTCAATTGAAATAGGGACATGTGCATTCCAGTGCGTTTTAGTGTGTTCCGGTGCATTTTAGTGCGTTTTAGTGTGTTTCGGTGCTTTTTTTTATACGTTTTACGGTTTTCAAGTTCAGTTCCCGGAACATCTGATCGGCGCTGTGTCAGTATCTCTATAGTGTGCGGTCGGCAAGTGAATATAGATTTGTTTTTATATAATTTTGTATTTCCTGGACCCTTGCGTGGTTATCGTGCGACATAAACAATTGGAACCATCACTATTGTGTTCTCCGGGGTCTCTGCCTTCGTGTTTTGGGGGTTTACGTAATCTTCTGGCCTAAAATGATTAAGAAAAAGCAACCAAAAACGCCTGAGAGGGCCCCGTTGCTAGGCAACCAATAGGAAGTGTCCATGAAAACCAGGAAATGAGATGGGCACCCATTGAAGGACCCTCCCCCATCTCTGCATTTGGGAGGAGGGATACCCCCAGGAGCCGGTGTACCCCGTGACTGCGGTGAATATTTGAGGTTTTTAGATTTTTTTAGGTTGCTATGCAACCAATAGGAAGTGACCATGAAAACCAGGAAGTGAGATGGGCACCCACTGAAGGACCCTCCCCCATCTCTGCAGTTCGGAGGAGGGACACCCCAGGAGCCGGTGTACCCCGTGACTGCGGTGAATATTTGAGGTTTTTAGATTTTTTAGGTTGCTAGGCAACCAATAGGAAGTGTCCATGAAAACCAGGCAGTGAGATGGGCACCCATTGAAGGACTCTCCCCCATCTCTGCAGTTCGGAGGAGGGACACCCCAGGAGCCGGTGTACCCCGTGACTGCGGTGAATATTTGAGGTTTTTAGATTTGTTTTTGTTTTTTAAAATACTGCAGTGATTGGGTAGAAGGGATGGGGGGCGCTGTTTGTGGTGGTGGGGGAGGGGTAAACGCATGTATTTCCGTCGTATCTTATGGCGTTTTGCGCTGGCTGACAACACAGTACCATCCAATGCTGGGCAGATGTCTGGGGATGGACTACGTTCACGGTTGAGTGTTGCCATCACATTGTGTATTTAGCGCGTTTTTATAGCGCGCTTTTTTTTCTGCAGCACTATTCATTTGAATTAGCCTCCCTCCGCGCTAAAGAAGCTCACGTACCAAATTTTGGACGTAGGCCGAGCCTGTTTTTGCATTGCGCGTTTTGTCGTGCGGAAAATGCGCAACTGTTACCTGCGTTTTGGCCGCCATTTAAAAAATAAGGGCACCGCATGTTTCGGTGCATTTTTTGCATGTTTGCCCCGCATTTTCCAAGTGCGAATAGGGCCTTAGGCTCCACCCACACGCATCCCCTGGTTTGTTTTATGACATATCCCCCAGTGAGGTGATACAGAGATGCAACAAATCCACCTACATATGTTGTACCTGTTTATCTGTAACATTCTCTTCTCTATATCCTTTCTAAGTGAAGAATTTATACAGCTTGTCTGAGCTTTCAGAAAGCAGGGGGCTGAGAGCTGAAGTTACACTCTGAGAGCTGACTGGGGGGAAGGGACACACTCCTCTCCACACAGCACACAGGAACAGAGCTGAGGCTGTCAATCACAGGCTGTGTGTTGGAGATCCCTCCCCCGTCACCATTTTTCTCTTGGAGTCGTTTTTTGCGTCTTTGTCCTGCGTTTTCCAAGTGTGAAGGGGTTAGGCTACATCCACACGCATCCCCTGGTTTGTTTTATGACATATCCCCCAATGAGGAGATTGGCCTCAGGTGATACACAGAGATGCAACAAATCCACCTACATACGTTGTACCTGTTTATCTGTAGCCTCTTCTCTACATCATCCTTTATAAATGCAGAATTTATACAGCTTGTCTGAGCTTTTAATAAGCATGGGGCTTAGAGCTGAAGTTACACTCTGCAGAGCTCAGTGATAGCAGACTGGGGGGGACGGGACACACTCCCCTTCACACAGCACACAGGAACAGAGCTGAGGCCTTTCAATCACAGGCTGTGTGTTGGAGATCCCTCTCGTCACCATTTTTCTCTTGGTGTCAGAAAAACGTGTCAGAAGTGACTGATAGCAGAGGAAGGAAGCAGCAGACAGAAATGACACTTAGCCCGGGTTCACACTGATGCGGTGCGGAATTCACAGCATTCCGCACCGCATCAGAATCGCACCCCATTCATGCGAACCGCTGCAGAGGTGTCTGTTAAGTTAACAACACCCCGAAATCGGTACGCAAAATGCGGTGCGATGTGCAGAATCGGATTGGTGTGAATACCTGTGCGATCCGATTCTAGTGCGGAACAAAAAAAGGGTCCTGCACCTTTTTGGTAAAACGCAGTAAAGCGTGCGTGCAGTAAATACACGTCTCAAATCGCACCGCACAGAATTCGCATGTGAACTGCACAGGAATGCGGTGCGGCTCCTGTGAGAATCACATGTGGTATGTCGCACTGCACAAATGTGAACCCGGGCTAAATGCTGAAAAATCGATCTGCCAGGTATAGGCGGACTTTATGCCTCCCGGATCACCTTCTGCTGAATGGAAATGTCCCTGAGCAGGCATGCATGTCCGAGGATCCAATCAAGATTTCTGTCTTCTCTCTGCAAAGAATTAAAACACCCCAAGATGTTCAAACACCACTAACAGCAAGCTCTATTTGTGTGGAAAAAACGGTATAAATTTCATTTGGGTACAGCGTTGCATGACCGCGCAATTGTCCGAAAAAGTAGTGCAGTGCCGAATAGCAAAAAATGGCCTGGTCATGAAGGGGGAGGAAACATTCTTCCCACTGACCACCAATGTAAGGGACATTCTTCCCACTGATCCCCAATGTAAGGGACATTCTTCCCACTGACCACCAATGTAAGGAGCATTCTTCCCACTGACCCCCAATGTAAGGGACATTCTTCCCACTGATCACCAATGTAAGGAACATTCTTCCCACTGACCACCAATGTAAGGAGCATTCTTCCCACTGACCCCCAATGTAAGGGACATTTCTTCCCACTGACCACCAATGTAAGGGACATTCTTCCCACTGATCCCCAATGTAAGGGACATTCTTCCCACTGATCCCCAATGTAAGGGACATTCTTCCCACTGATCCCCAATGTAAGGGACATTTCTTCCCACTGACCACCACTGTAAGGAACATTCTTCCCACTGACCACCAATGTAAGGAGCATTCTTCCCACTGATCACCAATGTAAGGGGCATTCTTCCCACTGACCCCAATGTAAGGAGCATTCTTCCCACTGATCACCAATGTAAGGGACATTCTTCCCACTGATCCCCAATGTAAGGGACATTCTTCCCACTGATCCCCAATGTAAGGGACATTCTTCCCACTGACCCCCAATGTAAGGGACATTCTTCCCACTGACCACCAATGTAAGGGACATTCTTCCCACTGATCACCAATGTAAGGGGCATTCTTCCCACTGATCACCAATGTAAGGGGCATTCTTCCCACTGACCCCCAATGTAAGGAGCATTCTTCCCACTGACCCCCAATGTAAGGGACATTCTTCCCACTGATCCCCAATGTAAGGGACATTCTTCCCACTGACCCCCAATGTAAGGGACATTCTTCCCACTGACCACCAATGTAAGGGACATTCTTCCCACTGACCACCAATGTAAGGGACATTCTTCCCACTGATCCCCAATGTAAGGGACATTCTTCCCACTGATCCCCAATGTAAGGGACATTCTTCCCACTGATCCCCAATGTAAGGGACATTCTTCCCACTGACCACCAATGTAAGGGACATTCTTCCCCACTGCCCACCAATGTAAGGGACATTCTTCCCACTGACCACCAATGTAAGGGACATTCTTCTCACTGATCACCAATGTAAGGGACATTCTTCCCACTGACCCCAATGAAGGGGGCAATCTTCCCACTGACCACCAATGTAAGGGACATTCTTCCCACTGATCCCCAATGTAAGGGACATTCTTCCCACTGACCACCAATGTAAGGGACATTCTTCCCACTGATCCCCAAATGTAAGGGACATTCTTCCCACTGATCCCCAATGTAAGGGACATTCTTCCCACTGACCCCCAATGTAAGGGACATTCTTCCCACTGACCACCAATGTAAGGGACATTCTTCCCACTGACCACCAATGTAAGGGACATTCTTCCCACTGATCCCCAATGTAAGGGACATTCTTCCCACTGATCCCCAATGTAAGGGACATTCTTCCCACTGACCACCAATGTAAGGGACATTCTTCCCACTGATCCCCAATGTAAGGGACATTCTTCCCACTGACCCCCAATGTAAGGGACATTCTTCCCACTGACCACCAATGTAAGGGACATTCTTCCCACTGATCCCCAATGTAAGGGACATTCTTCCCACTGACCACCAATGTAAGGAGCATTCTTCCCCACTGATCACCAATGTAAGGGACATTCTTCCCACTGATCCCCAATGTAAGGGACATTCTTCCCACTGATCCCCAATGTAAGGGACATTCTTCCCACTGACCCCCAATGTAAGGGACATTCTTCCCACTGATCACCAATGTAAGGGGCATTCTTCCCACTGACCCCAATGTAAGGAGCATTCTTCCCACTGATCACCAATGTAAGGGACATTCTTCCCACTGATCCCCAATGTAAGGGACATTCTTCCCACTGATCCCCAATGTAAGGGACATTCTTCCCACTGACCCCCAATGTAAGGGACATTCTTCCCACTGACCACCAATGTAAGGGACATTCTTCCCACTGACCACCAATGTAAGGGACATTCTTCCCACTGATCCCCAATGTAAGGGACATTCTTCCCACTGATCCCCAATGTAAGGGACATTCTTCCCACTGATCCCCAATGTAAGGGACATTCTTCCCACTGACCACCAATGTAAGGGACATTCTTCCCACTGCCCACCAATGTAAGGGACATTCTTCCCACTGACCACCAATGTAAGGGACATTCTTCCCACTGACCACCAATGTAAGGGACATTCTTCCCACTGACCACCAATGTAAGGGACATTCTTCTCACTGATCACCAATGTAAGGGACATTCTTCCCACTGACCCCCAATGAAGGGGGCAATCTTCCCACTGACCACCAATGTAAGGGACATTCTTCCCACTGACCACCAATGTAAGGGACATTCTTCTCACTGCCCCCACCAATGTAAGGGACATTCTTCCCACTGACCACCAATGTAAGGGACATTCTTCCCACTGACCACCAATGTAAGGGACATTCTTCCCACTGACCACCAATGTAAGGGACATTCTTCTCACTGATCCCCAATGTAAGGGACATTCTTCCCACTGACCCCCAATGTAAGGGACAATGTAAGGGACATTCTTCCCACTGATCCCCAATGTAAGGGACATTCTTCCCACTGATCCCCAATGTAAGGGACATTCTTCCCACTGACCCCAATGTAAGGGACATTCTTCCCACTGACCACCAATGTAAGGGACATTCTTCCCACTGACCACCAATGTAAGGGACATTCTTCCCACTGATCCCCAATGTAAGGGACATTCTTCCCACTGACCACCAATGTAAGGGACATTCTTCCCACTGACCACCAATGTAAGGGACATTCTTCCCACTGACCACCAATGTAAGGGACATTCTTCCCACTGACCACCAATGTAAGGGACATTCTTCCCACTGACCACCAATGTAAGGGACATTCTTCCCACTGACCACCAATGTAAGGAGCATTCTTCCCACTGACCACCAATGTAAGGAGCATTCTTCCCACTGATCACCAATGTAAGGAGCATTCTTCCCACTGACCCCCAATGAAGGGGGCAATCTTCTATATCGCACGTGGTTAAAGATATGGAAACACACATGACATATTATTATTTTATTAATAGTATATAAGCTGCGGCGCTAAAATAATTTATACATAAAATGTAAGAAAAATATTAAAAAAAAAGTCCAGTCCACGAGGATTATTATTTTATGCCCTATAAATGAAAAAAGACCTATAATAAATAATTAAAAAATTTCCTTTTTGCTATAAATAATACAAATATAAATTTAAAAAAAAAAATCCTCATAAATTTAGGCCAAAATATAAAAAAAAAAAAATCCCAATAAGTGTATAGTAATTGGTTTGCAGGAAAATTATTGGGTCTACATATGGCGGGTCTATATATATACAGTGGGGATCAAAAGTTTGGGCACCCCAGCTAAAAATTTGTATTAATGTGCATAAAGAAGCCAAGGAAAGATGGAAAAATCTCCAAAAGGCATCAAATTACAGATTAGACATTCTTATAATATGTCAACAAAAGTTAGATTTTATTTCCATCATTTACACTTTCAAAATAACAGAAAACAAAAAAAATGGCGTCTGCAAAAGTTTGGGCACCCTGCAGAATTTATAGCATGCACTGCCCCCTTGGCAAAGCTGAGACCTGCCAGTGTCATGGATTGTTCTCAATCATCGTCTGGGAAGACCAGGTGATGTCATCTCAAAGGTTTTAAATGCCCAGACTCATCTGACCTTGCCCCAACAATCAGCACCATGGGTTCTTCTAAGCAGTTGTCTAGAAAACTGAAACTGAAAATAGTTGACGCTCACAAAGCTGGAGAAGGCTATAAGAAGATAGCAAAGCGTTTTCAGATGTCAATATCCTCTGTTCGGAATGTAATTAAGAAATGGGAGTCATCAGGAACAGTGGAAGTTAAAGCAAGATCTGGAAGACCAAGAAAAATATCAGACAGAACAGCTCGCAGGATTGTGAGAAAAACAATTCAAAACCCACGTTTGACTGCATGATGCCTCCAGAAAGATCTGGCAGACACTGGAGTTGTGGTACACTATTCCACTATAAAGAGATACTTGTACAAATATGGTCTTCATGGAAGAGTCATCAGAAGAAAAACCTCTTCTACGTCCTCACCACAAAAATCATCGTTTGAACTTTGCAAATGAACATATAGACAAGCCTGATGCATTTTGGAAACAAGTTCTGTGGACCGATGAGGTTAAAATTGAACTTTTTGGCCGGAATGAGCAAAGGTACGTTTGGAGAAGAAGGGGCACAGAATTGAATGAAAGAACCTCTGTCCAACTGTTAAGCATGGGGTTGGATCAATCGTGCTTTGGGGTTGTGTTGCAGCCAATGGCACAGGGAACATCTCACGAGTAGAAGGAAAAATGGATTCAATAAAAGTTCAGCAAACTTTGGATGGTAACTTGATGCCATCTGTGAAAAAGCTGAAGTTAAAGAGAGGATGGCTTCTACAAATGGATAATGATCCTAAACACACCTCGAAATCCACGGGGGATTACATCAAGAGGCGTAAACTGAAGGTTTTGCCATGGCCTTCACAATCTCCTGACCTCAACATCATTGAAAATCTATGGATAGACCTTAAAAGAGCCGTGCGTGACAGACAGCCCAGAAATCTCAAAGAACTGGAAGACTTTTGTAAGGAAGAATGGGCAAAGATACCTCAAACAAGAATTGAAAGACTCTTGGCTGGCTACAAAAAGCGTTTACAAGCTGTGATACTTGCCAAAGGGGGCAGTACAAGATATTAACTCTGCAGGGGGGTTGCCCAAACTTTTGCAGACGCCATTTTTTTGTTTTCTGTTATTTTGAAAGTGTAAATGATGGAAATAAAATCTAACTTTTGTTGACATATTATAAGAATGTCTAATCTGTAATTTGATGCCTTTTGGAGATTTTTCCATCTTTCCTTGGCTTCTTTATGCACATTAATACAAATTTTTAGCTGGGGTGCCCAAACTTTTGATCCCCACTGTATATACAGTGGGGCAAAAAAGTATTTAGGCAGCCACCAATTGTGCAAGTTCTCCCACTTACAAAGATGAGAGAGGCCTGTAATTGTCATCATAGGGAGACCTCAACTATGAGAGACAAAATGAGAAAACAAATCCAGACAATCATTTGGCTGATCTGGAAAGAATTTATTTGCAAATTATGGTGGAAAATAAGTATTTGGTGAATATGAAAAGTTCATGTCAATACTTTGTTATATATCCTTTGTTGGCAATGACAGAGGTCAGACGTTTCCTGTAAGTCTTCACAAGGTTGGCACACACTGTTGCTGGTATGTTGGCCCATCCTCCATGCAGATCTCCTCTAGAGCAGTGATGTTTTTGGGGCTGTCGCTGGGCAACACGGACTTTCAACTCCCTCCAAAGGTTTTCTATGGGTTGAGATCTGGAGACTGGCTAGGCCACTCCAGGACCTTGAAATGCTTCTTACGAAGCCACTCCTTCGTTGCCCGGGCGGTATGTTTGGGATCATTGTCATGTTGGAAGACCCAGCCACGTTTCATCTTCAATGCCCTTGCTGATGGAAGGAGGTTTGCACTCAAAATCTCATGATACATGGCCCCATTCATTCTGTCCTGTACATGGATCAGTCGTCCTGGTCCCTTTGTGGAGAAACAGCCCCAAAGCATGATGTTACCACCCCCATGCTTCACAGTAGGTATAGTGTTCTTTGGATGCAACTCAGCATTCTCTCTCCTCCAAACACGACGAGTTGTGTTTCTACCAAACAGTTCTATTTTGGTTTCATCTGACCATATGACATTCTCCCAATCTTCTTCTGGATCATCCAAATGCTCTCTAGCAAACTTCAGACGGGCCCCGGACATGTACTGGCTTAAGCAGGGGGACACGTCTGGCACTGCAGGATCTGAGTCCCTGGCGGCGTAGTGTGTTACTGATGGTAGCCTTTGTTACATTGGTCCCAGCTCTCTGCAGGTCATTCACTAGGTCCCCCCGTGTGGTCCTGGGATTTTTGCTCACTGTTCTTGTGATCATTTTGACCCCACGGGGTGAGATCTTGTGTGGAGCCCCAGATTGAGGGAGATTATCAGTGGTCTTGTAATGTCTTTCATTTTCTAATTATTGCTCCCACAGTTGATTTGTTCACACCAAGCTGCTTGCCTATTGCAGATTCAGTCTTTCCAGCCTGGTGCAGGTCTACAATTTTGTTTCTGGTGTCCTTCGACAGCTCTTTGGTCTTCACCATAGTGGAGTTTGGAGTGTGACTGTTTGAGGTTGTGGACAGGTGTCTTTTATACTGATAACAAGTTCAAACAGGTGCCATTGATACAGGTAATGAGTGCAGGACAGAGGAGCCTCTTAAAGAAGAAGGTACAGGTCTGTGAGAGCCAGAAATCTTGCTTGTTTGTAGGTGACCAAATACTTATTTTCCACCATAATTTGCAAATAAATTCTTTCCAGATCAGCCAATGTGATTGTCTGGATTTGTTTTCTCATTTTGTCTCTCATAGTTGAGGTCTCCCTATGATGCCAATTACAGGCCTCTCTCATCTTTGTAAGTGGGAGAACTTGCACAATTGGTGGTGACTAAATACTTTTTTGCCCCACTGTATATATACACTGGAATTTTTTTTTTTTTTAATACTAGTAATGGGGGCGATCAGCGACTTAGCACAGGAACTGACCTAACACCATTCATTGTATATTCAGGCACTTTCACTGGGAGAATTACTATACAGATTTTTGATGACTACGCCCCGTAGTGTGAATGGTTTCGGATCTCCACCAATGAGGATACCTGACACAGGTCCTCCCCTAATTGAAAACTCCCTGACTGGAGTCCCACTTTGTGCCCAGGTTCACATATATGTGGTGCGGTACATCGCATGTGATTCGCACATAAACCGCACCGCATTCCTGCGCCAATCACATGCGATTTGTGTGTGCGGTGCGATCGGAGCCTTACATTATGTACGGCTCTAATCTCACCGCGCCAAAAAGGTGCAGGACCCTTTTTTGGGTCCGCACTAGAATCAGATCGCATGGGTATTCACACCGATCCGATTCTGCACATCACACCGCGTTTTGTGGACCGCTTTCAGGGTGTTGTTAATTTAACATACACACCCACAGCGGTTCGCATGAACAGGGTGCGATTCTGATGCGGTTGGGGAATTCGCACAGAAACCGCTGTGAATTCCGCACCGCATCAGTGTGAACCCGGGCTAAGTGTTATTTCTGTCTGCTGCTTCCTTCCTCTGCTATCAGCACGAGTCACTTCTGACAAGTTTTCCTGACACCAAGACAAAAATGGTGTCAGGGGAGGAATCTCCAACACACAGCATGTGATTGACAGCCTCAGCTCTGTTCCTGTGTGCTGTGTGGAGGGGAGTATTTCCCTTCCCTCCAGTCAGCTATCACTGAGAGTGTAACTTCAACTCTCAGCCCCCCCCCCCCCCCCCCCATGTCATAAAACAAACCAGGGGATGCATGTGGATGTAGCCTAAGCCCTATTCACACTTGAAAAACACGGGGCAAAGACACAAAAAACGACTCCAAGAGAAAAATGGTGACAGGGGAGGGATTTCCAACACACAGCCTGTGATTGACAGCCTCAAATCTGTTTCCTGTGTGCTGTGTGGAGGAGAGTGTGTCCCTTCCCCCAATCAGCTCTCACTCTGCAGAGTGTAACTTCAGCTCTCAGCCCCCTGCTTTCTGAAAGCTCAGACAAGCTGTATAAATTCTGCACTTAGAAAGGATGTAGAGAAGAGAAGGCCCCAGATAAACAGGTACAACTTATGTAGGTGGATTTGCTGCATCTCTGTGTACCACCATCTCTGTGTATCACCTCACTGGGGGGTCATAAAACAAACCAGGGGATGCATATGGATGTAGCCTAAGGCCCTATTCACACTTGGAAAACGCGGGTCAAACGTGCAAAAAATGTGTCGAAACATGCAACAAATGGTGAC